CAAAAAATCATCCAAATAAACCACTAGGAAACGGTCCAAAAAATCGCGGAACACGTCGTTCACAAAGTGCTGAAATGTGGCAGGAGTATTACAAAGTACGAACGGCATTACGAGAAATTCGTAGGAACCTAGACGAGTCTGGAACGCGGTCTTCCATTCATCACCCTCCCGAATCCGGACCAAGTTGTAAGCTCCCCGAAGGTCAAGCTTGGTGTAGACTTGCGCCCCACGCAGTCTGTCCAACAACTCGGGGATAAACGGGAGCGGGTAACGGTTTCGGATGGTAATCTCATTCAGCGCCCGATAGTCATTACACAATCGTAGCTCCCCTGATTTCTTCTTGACAAACAAGACGGGGGCTCCAGCCGGTGACTGCGAGGGCCGGATGAACCCCTTTCACAGATTGGAATCTATAAAATCCCGTAGGGCCACCATCTCCGGCTCTGAGAGAGAATATAACCGGCCCCGTGGGATCGGGGCCCCAGGCACCAGGTCAATTGCACAGTCATATGGCCTATGGGGTGGTAACTTCTCAGCTTCCTTTTCACTGAATACATCCCAGAAGTCCGAATATTTTTTGGGCAAAGTCACAAGGGTCTCGACTTCCTCGGCCTGACACACTTGAGCCACCAAACAATTTCGGTGACAATATTCTGAAGCAAATTGTAATTCCCGATGTCCCCACGAAATCTGGGGGTCATGCAGTGTCAGCCAAGCGACACCCAACACGATGGGAAAATGTGGAACCTTGGTCACTAGAAAAGAAATATCCTCCACATGTTCTCGAACTCACATCCTTGTAGGCACTGTCCATTGACTCACTGGCCCCGATTTCAAAGGCCGGCCATCGATGGTTTGTACTACCTTCGGATCATTCAGATCCCAATAATCCAATCCTAAGGAGTCTGCATAGTCCTGGTCAATAAAGTTGTTAGTCGCACCCGAGTCCACCATGGCATGGACTAACATGGGTCCTTTCTTGGCCAACCACAGGGTGACCAATAACAGGAACAGCACTCCAGTTTGTGGCTCTGTGGGGGGAGCAGCGACCGAGCCGGCGAGCCTTTCTACGCCCAGTCGAAGCCTTCCCCCGCCGGCTGTTGGGGCATATCCTCCCTCTCCGGCAACTCCACTGACGCCAACGCTGCCCTCTGCACCGGCCGCCGCTTTGCTGGACACTCCCGTGAAAAGTGGCCTGCTGCTCCACAGTACCAACAGAGGTTTAAACGCTGGCGCCTGGCTTTCTCCGCAGCATCAATCTTGGGGCGGATGTGCCCCAACTGCATCGGCTCCTCCTCATCCAAACTTGCTGTGGGCGGAACTGGCCGGCTGAGTGCCCTGGGTCCAGGGATTGGGACACCCTTCGGGACCGGCCATTCAGACGCTCCACGGGTCCACTGCAGCCTCATGTGTAAGTTACCATCCAGCCGGAGACTCAGAGTGATGAGACCATCAAGGGTGGCAGGAAGGTCCGCCACCCGCAACACTTCCCCTTGTAGTTCTGGGGTTAACCCTTCCAGAAACTGT